CGAACTCTTTTACAAAAACCTTGAATTTGCGATAAAAAATTCAATAAATCCAATAACTACAAGATCATCTATACGTAAGAGAATTAAACCGTGGATTACGGACAGTTTGGTCAAATCAATATGTACTAGAGACAAATTAAGTAAAGCTGCACACCGTCAACCATTTAATGATAATCTACAAACTTATTACCGGAATTATAGACAAAACCTAAGCAGTGTATTAAAAAGGGCTAAAAGAGACTTTTACAGGGAAAGACTCAACCAGTACAGTCAAAATTCCAAATTATTTTGGGGACTGAGCAATGATCTTGCTGGCAGGTCATGTAATAAAAACTCATTTCCAATTGAAAAGTTAATTCCTAACACGTCTGATCATACACAAGCCACAAAAATGTGATTGCAGATGATTTTAATAACTTCTTTGCTCCTGTTGGAGAAAATTTATCAAATCAGATAGATGCGGACGGGACCCTGGTGGTTGTTGACTCTGACTGACTCTACTTTCACATTGAAAACTGTTTCTGCACAAGACGTACTACGACATATCTCTGGGCTGCGTGGTGGCTCAGCTCCCGGTCTGGACGAGGTCTCGGCTGATTTACTCAAACAAAACGCACTCATAATTTACATTCCGCTGCTACACCTAATCTCTACTGACTGGTATATTCCCGGCTCAATTTAAAACAGCAAAAGTTATTCCTTTTATTCAAAACAGGTGATCCAAAAGATAAAAACTATTTTAGGCAAATCTCACTGTTAAGCGTATTTTCCAAGGTTTTGGAGCGTATTGTTAAGGAACAGCTAGTGGAGTACCTTGAAAGTAACAATACACTAATTCACAATTTGGGTTCAGAAAAGATAAAAACATCTCTGATGCACTTTTTGAAGTTTGTAAATATATAAATAATTAAATGATTAATAACAATCGATCTATGCTAATGTTTTTAGATCTAAAAAAAGCATTTGACTCAATTGACAGAAATTTATTGCTAACAAAATGATTGGAACAAATCTGTGTCAGAGCCACTGCTCTCACGTGGTTCAAAAACTATTTATCTGACAGACATCAAGTAGTTTCCATCTGTGGTGTGAATAGTGATGCAAATTCAATTGAGTAAGGGGTTATTCAAGGAAGTACTCTGGGGCCTATACTTTTTCTAATTTATATAAACAACATTTCTAAACTCAACCTAAATGGTGAACTGTTTTTATTTGCCAACGACACTTTAGTTTTGATAAAGGGTTGTTCATGGGAGGATGTCAGGTCCAAAGCTCTTGGTGACCTCTCAATTCTAAAGAAATGGTTAGATCAAAATGTGCTCTCACTTAATGTAACCAAGGCTAAATTCCTTCCCATATCACTCAGTATCAGCACTGATTATAGTCTAAACCATTTGAAGATTCATTGCTGCAGCAACCATAACCGAGCAACCATAAGTTTATCTTGTAATTGTGGGTACATTGAAAGGGTAGATTATTATAAATATTTGGGTGTTTATTTTGACTACGGAATGAAATGGACAGAGCATGTAGATTTCTTGAAGAAAAAGATTTGTAAATATATCTATGCTTTTAACCAATTGAGTGAAATTTTAGACGAGGATGACATAAATCGCATATGTGCAATCCTTGATTTCATTTGGAATTATTTGCTGGGGAGCATGCTATCACACCACCTTGGAACCCTTGAATGTAATTCAAAGATCAATTTTGAAAGTTGCTTTTAGAAAAAATAAAAGGTACTCCACTGACATTCTATTCCGTGAGACGGGAATACTACCGGTCAGACATCTTTTCATCCAGTTCCTTCTTAATCACACATTCAAAAACTCAAACACGATTCTTACAGCAGTCACACATCAGCACTTCACAAGATACTCACACAATGTTAGAATATCTGTTCCTCAGCTACATAAATCAGTTCTAACTACCAACTGTTTTTATGTTGAAATCCTCTGTCAAAATTTAATTCAAAAATATGATATTCAACACGTTTTTAGTTTACCCTCATTACAGAAATTCAAAAGCCACATTCTTGTTTTACTGCACTCCATTACCAAAGGAGAGGCCGAGACTTTGATTAGACCAAACCATACTTGACTCTGACTAAAAATCCTCGACCCTTACCCCCTCACCCTCCAAATGTCTTCTTTTGGAGACATTCTCAACAGCATTTCTGTTTTCTTTTAAATAATTAAGAAAAAAATTTCCCAAATTAAGTTTTTTGCCCTTAGAATTTTGCTGACTGATAACAACCAGGCCTACACACAGGCACCTGCCCATGTAGGCCTATCATCCCATAAGTATGGCAGATTCATCTGACAATAGTTGTACTACTGTAGTTAATCTTGCTCTCTGTTTTTATTTATCTTTCTGTAATAATATTGGGATAAATAAACGTATTTCATTTCATTTCTTTATACACAACCGCAGCAATCGGGACAACACATGTGATGATTTCACCAGGTTTTGCCATTATCGTCTCCAGCGATTTGGTCAAATCCTTTGACTATTTTTGGGGATTCTAACCGTCACAGACCTTTTCCACACTCCGCAACTGCTGGCCTTTACTGCTTTCTTCACCACTTCCTAGGTCGTGGACCTGTTTAAGTTTGCGATTTATGAGATGGATCCGTGAATTTGATTCATCGACCGAATTGTTTAAGATAAATGTTATTTGTTATAACTTATTTAGCTACGTAAATCAAATCTGTAAAATACTTTACCTAAGGGAGTACATATTATTTATGACTGTACCCATTTAATTAGTGGTTGTTTCCAAATTGTGACTTAAATGTTAGGGACTTAAGACTTTCTCTGTATCATCAGTGGTCATCATCCAAGTTTTGTAAAAATGTGTATTTTACGTCCTTATTTTGTAACCATCATGGCAACCCATAAGGCCAATGTTAAAATTTAAAAACTTTGAGTTACTTTTAAATTAATATAGGCATTATTAAAAATTTAAAAAAAAATATTTGTCTAAAAACCCATCCAAAAATTTGACAAAACAACCTTGGTAAGTTTGGCTAAAATATGTTCAGCCATTATTGAGTTTATGTGTTATAAAGTTTGCATTGAAGTTGATCCCAAAAAGCTTTGCTTCGCTCCACTCAATGAAGTAATTTTTGGAACATTGTGTTGGTATTCTAAAAATAATATATATTTATGGTAAGGGCAGCATTGTTTGGAAATATTTGAACCCCGGTATACTGTAGGACCAAAATCGGTGGGAACATTTCTAATATGGTACTGTGAACACTATCACTTACTAACAATGTAAATAAATTATATTTGTGAAGATTTTTTTATATTGCAACAGCTAGTCTCAGTAATCGACATTCTATAAGCTTATTAATATTCTTTAAAAAAAACAAATTGAACGATTCCTTGAAGAGACAGAAAACTATATTGAGACCTAAAAACGTGAATAAGCTGGCTTTAGGACTAAGTTACAATGATAACCAACACACAAAAAATATGCCAGATGTGATTTCTGTCCAAGAAATCTAGACAAAGAAACCACCAAGAGGTGCTAATTATGGTAAAAGCATCTGCAAGGACCGTGAAGTAGAAACTTTTATTGGAGGGAAAATTTTGAAACGTATGTTTTAATGTCCCTGGCCTTTTATTTTGTAGATAGTGTATTTTGTAGTATATTTAAGATAAATAAAGGTAAGTTTGTGCTTTTTGTAATTTTGGTGTGTCCACGACCGTACGTAGTCATTTCATGTAATAGACATGGTGTTAATTTTTGTTGATACTATATTTGAATTGCTGTATTAACCTAGAAATCCACTTTGCCCCCTCAAACATGAGGTGTAGGGCTGCCACTAGAACAGAGCCAAATAATACATGATTTCACGACCGGGGCATCACGACCATCACAGGTTTTTTCACGACCAAAATAGCCTTATTAAGTACCGGTACTGTGTCATGGTCGTGAAAATAAAATTAATTAAATATCATTGTAAATGTCACAGTTTAGTTTAATTGCGACACAAATCTTTCTTATAACAGAACAATTAATTGAAGGATGTAAAAAAAATTGAGATTTTGAATGTTTACATTGACAGGTATTTTTATTTCCTTATAAGGTAACGCTTGTATTGAGTATAGCGTTATATATAAAACTATTACATTTAAAAATAAATTATGGTTTATCAAGTCTCGTGGAATATGATAAGAATAAGAGTAGTGGAATAAAAAACCAATGAAATAGAAAAATTAAAAACGTTTTGAAAAAAAAAATTATAATGTGCTATTCTTGAAAACCTAAGTTTTAAAATTTAGTCTTTTGGCTGTTTCAATGTCTAGACGCTTAGTTTTTCTGTTACATCCTAGTCTACCTTTACTTATTGCTTATTTATTCTATAACTATTATCAGCTGGTTATAATGTTTACTTGTTCACTTTGTTTTTAATTTGTGTTGAATAAAGTTGGTTAAAATTGTACTTTGACAAATACATTTATTATTTGTTCTAATTACATACAGAACATTTTCTATTGAGATTTTCTACATAATTGAGTGCATATAAGTTGACATTAAGGTTTGCAATGTGTTATGAATAAATTGCTAGTTGTTTTATTTATCAAATCCAATCAAACATGATGGGGAAATATTTTCTCCGTGCGAGCTCTCACATTATGTTGATAGGCGCAGGCTATTTGGGGTTAAAAGCAGTGGCGGATCCAGAGGGGGGGCGAAGGGTGCGACCCCCCCCCCTTGGGCATACATATTTATATTTTTTTACTGCATGTAATACATTAGTGCATACAAATTGTGTAAAATAATTTGTCACACTTACTTTGACAAAGAAATGGTATAAAACTGCCATTTTGGAGACCCCAGGTCCGCCCCCCCTTGTTTGTAACCAATTTATCAAACTTCTATGTTGGTTTTCTGGTAATCTGGCTCTCTGTGTACTACTCTAACTCTTGATCTTGGTTTACCCTAGTAAAATTGACTGATTTTGGAGTAAAGTTGGATATCAACTTACCTCATCTTCTTCGATGCTGTTCATTCTTCAGCCTGAAAAGTATTCAATTAACTTAATTTAAAATGTATGGAATATAAAGCAAAATTTAAAACATAATACTGTAAGTAAAATAAGCTTAAGGTCAAGGCAAGTAAAGTAAGGTTTAAGCCTTATTGAGTTAATGGCCACAAATTTACTGGATTTTTCAAAACCGGGACTCTTTTGAGTCCCAAGATGCCTCTTTGGAACACTTGGACATGGACAGTAAAATCAGTGACTCTAGCCTATGACAGCAACACTAGGCCCTACTGCAGACCCTTCCATGTACCGGTACACTAAAAAATTGGCCTAAGGTATTCTCATAGAAAATTAGGTAAATATAGTAGCCTAATAAACTTAATGAATAAATGTGGGACTCATTAATCTTAAACTAGAGGTCGCCCCAGGGTCGAAAACTCTACCAAAATATGTATTGAGCAAACTTCTCTACTTTCACCCAAGGCTATAAATAAAACATGTGATTGGAATTTATTCTGAGCCGTGACATGCCCACCAAGCGTCCCACCAGTGTCACGCCTCAGTGTTTTTTTTATAGTGCGAGTACTGGCTTTGCGCCGGAACTCAGTCGGTTTGGGGCTGGCAGCAGTCCTGCAGACCCCGGGGTATTTTTCCGCTGTCGAGCACATTTTCGCCAGAAGACGTGCGGCTGTCATTGGTTACTGTCAAGATTTGTGTTTAAGGTTATGTCAAATTATTTTTTACCATCCTTTCAGTTTTTCTACTGTGTTGCATACAAACCTAATTTTCAGTAACATGTAGTTAAGTTTCGCCAAGACGTCAGATGAGTAAGTTGATTGATTATTTTGATTTGTTTAGGTTAGAAAGTTTCTGAATTAGTTTTGGCTTTCAGCCACATGTTGAGCAGGCTTTGAGTGGGTTTTGGCTAGTGAAAAACAAGTATTAAGCACCTTCTGTGCATTGGTATTACTTTTAATTACCAATTACTTGTTTTTCAAGGCGCTGGACCCATTTCTGAGGCTGGAATTGTTCAGAGTTCTGATGGGCCTTTGGCCAAGCTTTGTGTGGTCAAACCACAAGTTTTTCTGGTTAGTTTGTAGTTTTCTTTGTCGTCAAGTTTTCAAAGCTTTCCCCGAGACTCTAGGCCAGATATTACCCAAGAAAACTCACTTTGAAACTCTCTTTTGTGCGGGCTATGGTCCGTTTGTTCTGTGTCCCTGTTAATTTATTATTAGGCCTAAGGCCTAGTTTGTGCTCATTTTTGTTTTGTTATTGTGGCCTACAACTTGTTTAATGTAAATTTTGTCCCTTTGTCCCCTGTAAAAGTGTTTTTTTTTGTTATTTGTAATGTAGGCCATGTCACTCAGCCTAATTTTTTTTAGTTAAGTAATGGCGCCTCCTGGGGGCCAAGCTCGGTCATAATTAGTTAGTATTAGTGCTCTTACTTGTCCCCTGCAATTTTCATTAAGTTTGGATAATAAATGACCGAGTTATTTAAGTTTTTGTTTAGCGCAATTCTGTATTCTGAGTGACCGTAGGTAACTGACCCCCTACCTAGCCTCAGGCTAGTTGGTAGGCATGGGTATGTCTTTTAAAAGCTGCGGGCACCTGTGCCACAGCTTTTAAAAGCAATTTGAGCAAATTTGGTTGGTAATAACCGGAGTTATTACCGGTTTTACCTGAAAATGCACCTCCAGCCAAAGAATTTTTAATATTTTGTGTAAACTGTTTTTTGAAGTATTTATTGTAGTATTTATGTAACTGTTTTGTGTTTGATTAATGTGTTTTACCCTTCTGGACCAGATAATTTATATTTTTTATTGTCAACTTCAATTTTTATGAAAAATGTCTGTAAGAATGTGTTGTTAAAGTTTGTAAAATTTAAAAGCCTATTTATTGTTATGTTTTAGAGCTTTATTGAACTGAATTAATAATTTTCTAGTCATTTTCTCATTATAACTCTTAAGGACTGTTTTGAATAAAGGAAAGCCTATTAAAAGAAAAATATTTTAAATAAAAATCTCATTTGTAATAGTTTTGGTCAGTGAACGAGTGGTGCGGAAATTGTTTTTTGGAATTATTTCTTGAAAAGCTTGGTAGGCCTAATGTTATGAAGTTTATATGGACTTTTATTAGTTAGGCCTGGAATGTGTTCAAAGGGTCCCGGATGGGAGGTTTGGTTCTGCTGATGTCGTCCTCGGAGAGGGTCGCCTGGGGGAACTCTCCACCTTCCACCCCCTTGAGCTGCCAACTGCCCTGTTTCTCCGGGGACTTTTAAGCCACCATCCGCCTTCAACCACCACCGCCTACCACCACCAAGTGCCGCAAGTTTGTTTGAATTAGCCTATAAACATTTTTGAAGGACTTGATATTTAGAGGGGCCCCCAAATTATTCATGACTTGTTATTTATTTTTAAGCTAATCGTTATTTATTAATTTTGAAAGTTAATTATTTATTGTTAATCTATTTAAAGTTTAAAACTGATCAGTTACCATCCTTTTACAGTTACCACTTTTAATTATTTATTTGTTAGGCCTAATTTTGTTACTGGTACCAGTTCTTGTAAGTTCAGAAGGGTAGGCTAAATTCCTTTTCATTAAAATTTTTGATTAAGTTTTTTAAGAGATTTGAGAAATTCTTTGGATGGTTACATTGTTTGATTGTTGATTGTTATTTTGTTGAATTTTTGAGATTAATTATAGGCTTTGTTGACAACTGTTTGTTTTTTGATATTCACCCACGGCCTTTCATTTTGTTAGGGATGTGGGGCGGCCACTCGCACTGTCACTATGGGGGGGCATGCTTCCAAAAGTTGTTCGTCTGGGGGCGGTGCGAGGGGTCGGCTCAGATGGTAGCAGAGCGTGGTTTTTTGGTTGCGTCCTGGGTGCCTTGTCGTGAAACTTCGGTTTCACGACTTGGATACTTAGAGATCCGATCACTGTCCACGTTCTGATTTGTTTTGAAGGGCCGTGGATGGATTTGATTTTTGGGTGATTCTGGTCTGGCAGTCTTAGGAATTTTTTGAAGAAATGTTGTCGTGTTGGGGTAAGCACACTGTTGTAGTTTTTATTAGGAGCTCGCCCTTGGCCGAGTCACCGGGTGGAATCTGGTTAATGACTTGCATCCTTTGGGAGCAAGAGTGTCAAAAGCATGGCCAATCCAAAAATTGAAACTGTGTGTGTGTTTACCTCATCACACAAATGTTAGGTGTTGTTGTTTATTGTATGTATGTATGTGTGTATGTGGTGAGTGTAAGCCCGTGTTTTTGTTTTGGTGGCTAAGGCGGTGTGTATGGGCAGGTTCTTCTGTTTGGGACCTCATCTGACTGTAGGCATTTCAGTCCAGAGCCTTTAGTTAGTTAAGTTTGTGAATTGTTCGTTGTAAAAAAAAAAAAAAAAAAAAAAAAAATTTTTGTGTGTTTTGTAGGTAGGTCGACTGACTGAGAGCAAAATGGGTTTGTTTGCTCCACTGCCCAATCCCATTGCTGGGGTTTTGAGCGACATTCGCCCGGTTGATGGTTTAGAGGTAGAAACTTTGTTGGAGTTTTTGGGAAAGGTGTTGCACCTGAAGGAGTTCCCAGGCATGGAGGACTCAGTAGTGTTGGAACTGCTGGTTCCACTCTGCCTGAGACCTCTTGGTGACAAATTGTTAGATTGTTTGAAACGGGGAGCAAATTTTGAAATTTTTCACAGTGAAGTGCTTGAGCTCTTTGTCCCCTTCAGGGTCATGGAGAGATTGAAAGTTGAGAGGGTGTTTCGTCCTCAAAAATTTGATGAAACTCTCAGTCAGTATGTGGGTGACATTTGTGGCGTGTGGCGTGTCCTACGGCTGGGCATCCCTGAAAACCAACTGGTGGACATTGTCTTGCAGGGGTTGAAGCCTGAGGAGCGGTCCAGACTGATTTTTGCTCCAAAGCCTTCTTCTTTTGCAGACCTGGATAGGTTGGTCATCCTTTCACGGAGCGTTCAAGACGCTGATTGTCAGAGGGAGCATGTTTCGGGGCATCTTCCCCGGACTGGTCCCCATCCCGCTGTAGCATCCGTGTGTCGAGGTCCTGAAACACCGCAGAGACAGAGGCATCCTATTGTTTGCTTTCGTTGTGGTCAACCAGGTCACATGAGACGAGAGTGTCGTCAGAGGGTTAATCTTGGGACTTTGTCCAAAAACCTGAGTAGCTCACAAGGGGAAAGTTTGCCTAAACCGCCCTGTGAGAAAGCTGTTTTGGAGAAAGTCAGCAGGAATTTGGTTTCTCTGAGTACTGCCCCTTCTGGGAGTGCTGGTTTTGGGGATCCTCTGTCGCGGGGAATGAGGGAGCTTGCATGCATGGGAGTGAAAGCGGCGCGCTCAACTTGCCCACGACTCAACATCTTCTTAGGTAAAACGGTGCAGAAGGCCCTTGTGGATTCTGGGTCAGCCCGTTGTCTCATTTCCCTTTCCCTGTTTGAAAACCTAAAATCTTCTGGGCTAATCAAGCAAGTTGAGCGAAGTACCCACATCTGCTGGACTGCATCGAAATCCCCACTTCCAATCATCTATGAAGCCCGTTTGAAATTCAAAATTGAACATTTTTCTTGGGTGTGGAGTTTTTGGGTAGCCAAGGACCTTTGCATACCTGTCATTTTGGGAGCGGATTTCATCAAGCATTGTGGCCTGATTTTGGATTTAGGCAGAGGCCAGTGCTTCTTTCGTTTCGCAAGACGGGTGCTCATTCCTTTTGCGGATGAAATTGTGGATGGTGCAGCTGTGGTCGAGCCTGAGACACCCAGCAAACCAAAGGTTGATCCATTAGGGCATCTGACTCCTGGTGAGGCTGAAGCTATCAGAACATTGTGTTCTCGTTTTCCTGAGGTGCTGACGCCAAAGCTTGGAGTCACCAATCTTTTGGAGTACGAAATCCGTTTGACTGACACCCGTCCAGTTCGTTCCCATCCTTACAAGCTTGCTCCACCCAAAATGGAAACACTCCGTGGAATCATCAATGAGCTTCTTGAAAATGGGGTAATTGAGCCTTCTCGCTCAAGTTACGCTAGTCCA